TTTTGTTGTAATTTTTCCATAATATTTTAATCATTATTATTATTATAGAGATTATTATTTCCAATTAAATTTTTTCATCTATTTACTACATATTTTTAACGTTCAAGAATTAGTTAATTAATTTATTTATTTTTACGTTTCTTAATTAATAATTTCTGAGTATAATATACTGAAATATATATTCTAAATATATTTTTTATATAATATATTCTGAATATCTTTTTAGAAAATAGTAAATATATAATAAAAATAAAAATTTATAATTTTAATAATTTTATAATAATTTATAATTTTAACTTTTTATTATATAAAATTTATTAACAGAATTTTTTCAGAAGTAAACATTAGTATTAGTGGAAAGAGTATTTCTTCCCATTCCATCCAAACTGTAATTAAAAACTGGCTACAGCATGCTGAAGATAGGATAAATCAAAATACAAAACGACATGAAAAGAAGAAATAAAATATTTGAGAAAAAACTATAGATTTTTTTGTTTTATTTAGTTTTGGTAAATTATAAAAAAGTGGTATTGAAATATTCTATATATGCATTTTATTGTCATGATAATTTTATTTTTTACATATGCAATATAGTAATTACTTGAATAAATAATTAAGAAAAGTATTAAAAATAAAATTTTAATATTACTTTTATAACTTTTATTTTTATTATTTTTCTATGTAAGGATCATATATTATATGTTTTTATTTTTGTATGTAAAACACATAAGGAAAAAAAAATTATTTTTTGTATTACTCAAATGTACCATACAACATAATTTCTGAAATGTTTTTATATGGATTCTACATTTATAAAAAAGTTATGTAATGTATTGTATATAACATTGTGTTCCTTTTCATATAATTAAATTCATAAAAATAGTGCTATAAACTAAAAATAATGCTATAACAATTCTTAATGTTAACATTTTCTTGATATTTAGGAGAAGTCAGATTTTAATATTCTTTTAGATGTCATTTATGTGATCTCTTTTTTTCCTCTAAAAGTGACGCATTAGAGGGCTTATTGATATCATTATGTTATCTTCAAGATGGTGTTGTTGGATGTCTAACTCTCAAACCTGAGTACTTGAAGGACTCTCTTTGATAACATAATGCTCACTGGGGAGTTTTAGCTAGAATTCGTATAGAATCTGCGTTTGAAAAGATGGTAAAATGGATTTAAGGGGTTTCTGAGGTCACTAATTACGAATCCGGGGCTAGAATTTCACAATTCAAAATGGCGGACATCGACTAATTAACAATTATTAATCGATATGCACAAAAATGATCATTTACACGTTTCTGGGATCGCTGATTACGATTCTAAACATAGAATTTCAAAATCGAAAATCGTAGATCCAATATGTTAATAAACTGACAAACTCCTCTCCGATTCCAAGTTTGTCAGTTAATTAACATATTGGATCTACGATTTTCGATTTTGAAATTCTATGTTCAGAGTCGTAATCAGCGATCCCAGAAACGTGTAAATGATCATTTTTGTGCATATCGATTAATAATTGTTAATTAGTCGATGTCCGCCATTTTGAATTGTGAAATTCTAGCCCCGGATTCGTAATTAGTGACTTTAGAAACCCCTTAAATCCATTTTACCATCTTTTCAAACGCAGATTCTATACGAATTCTAGCTAAAACTCACATCTAAGGGATAGTTTTCACCCTTTAGAGTGCACCTTTACCGATATAAAAAAATATATATATTGATTATTTGTCATAGTTCTACAAGTGTGCAAAATCCCATCAAAATCGGTGAGTTCCGACAGACAGTTCCGTAAGTTTACTTGTGAGATATGTTATGATACCGCACCTGACCTAGCAACTTTGACATCGCCTATCTTCGAAACGAAAAGTAGGCTCAATGTAAAAATTTTCTGTGATCAATGTCTCATCATAAACTATCATTTAGCGTACTATTTGGTTCCAAATTCGAGGGCCGCAAATCGGGCGATTATTGGGGTCACTCTTTCAGTTGAGAAAACAAGCACAAGCATTGTTTGTTTACAAATTATCCACTTACACGTACACAGACCACACGTCAGTGTATGAGTTACCACTACAAACAAATGCGTACACACGGACCTACGCGACGTAGGCTATGCCGATAATGGCTGTGTTCCGAAATTCACTGCCAGTACTGAAAATCTATAATTTACGTTACGTATATTGTAGATTTTCAGTACTGGCAGTGAATTTCGGAACGCAGCCAATGTCATTTCATTTTTAGTACCATCGAAATGATGGCGCTTTCGCGTCGGAGTTCGGCTACCACTCCAGCATCCTCTTAACTGTAATCGAATAGATTGAATAAAAGCGATACAAACAAGTAGAAATTTATTAACAACGCAGAGAGACTTATTATAAAACAAAACTAAGGAAATATATTTAGTTTTATATAAATATATTTCATGTATAAGAAAATAAGAAAACTTGCACATAGGAAAATTTATTTCCTTAAAACTTTAAGAACCTAAAACGTTTAAACATATTTACATGGTTTAATCATGCAAATAGACGTCGATGATTTCGAGTAAAATTTATTTCTTAAATAATTAAATTATATAAGTCCAATAATTTTGTCATAAAATCTTATATTATAAATTATTTGTTGTTATAAATTTTAAAAAGTGTTTAATAGTTTATTTGTAAAAAAAATTTTTATTGACGTTATTAATTCAAAGAGTAGATAAATAGTTAATTAAATAATAATATATATTAATATTTACTAGAAAATATAAACATTTACGAAATATGCAATTTTATGAAAACAATCTTATCAAAAATTGTTAATCTAATTTAATTTAATTTAATTATGTAATTCTATTTAGTAGCAATGTGACATTAAATATCTCTTATGATAATACGAAGATGTTTATATGTCCCGTTCCATGCATATAATGCAAGCTCCTAATTCTAATTTTCAATATTATTAAAGCATTTATACGGAAACTGAAAGTTCTAAATCCGACAATCCCGTTTGTCGAGCGTGCACACAACTACATATATTTATTTCGATAAATATAACAGTATTAAATATTTATCATCAGCTC